CCATGTGAACGAAGCAGGAACCAGGTAAGCTGCAATTCCAAGAAGCCATGGAGATAAAGGTTTTAGAGATAGGAGTTCAGATATGTTCTAATGACAATAATATGTTCTTTCCAGCATAATTCGGAAGACACAGAACCATAATCCTGGAGGACATAGAAAATTTAATTGTTAACACAAGCAATATGGATCACGTACATGTGGGTTTTAGAGTAAAAAAAACATAGAAAATGTAAAGCTGGTTAAAACTGCTTTTCATTTCTCTTACATTATTTGACGTGGCTGAAGATAGCAATCATGTTATACCCTCCTCACAATGTGAAATGAGTATGTGTAATTAATTGGAAAAAATGTCAATTTCATCCTATTTTACATTTTTTAAGATAGACTTCGCCTCTGTCTTCTTACATACACTATTGTTACAAAAGGTCAAAACAGTAAACGTTAGACACATGCTTTTACTTGACATGTGAGTTTTAAACAGTTACTAACGTTACTTGTATAAACGTTTGACGACATTTGGCGGTGTCTTTTCATTTTTTAACATTTTGTACTCCACAAATATCACTGTGAAACACCCGATTTGGCGATATATATATATATATATATATATATATATATATATATATATATATATATATATATATATGCCGATAAGACTTAAAGAGACTTTAGCCATATGGTATCCGTATCCATATGGCTAATGATATCCAGACTTTTGAAAAAAATATATATAAAATGATTAACAACTATGCCGCGATAATATACCAACATAAACAAATAATTATAGTTATAAGAACCTTTTTAAAAAATGTGAATATCTTAGGTGAATCGTTTGCTTTCCAGGCACTTTGCAACGAAGAAGAGGACCAGTGTTTTTCTCCAATAAGATATCTGGTCAACACTGATTTTACCATCCCAATCGCGCTTATGTCGGAACACGAACAGAAGGCTTCTGCAGCTGAAGGCATTTGTGACGTGAACATAGCTTTTCTTTTCTATGCCAAGATTTACAAAGCTATCGGCGACGGTGCATGGCGCTTTATGCCTGACCAAAACACGTGTACAGAGACGAACCGCAATGCAACAGACCCATCACTGGTAGCAGTCTTTAACTTCCAGGCCAGATTAACCAAAATGGTACGTGGCTATCGTGAAGGTTCCAAGCTGTTTGCTTCCTACCGCGCAGAGTTCTCTAGGACGCTGAAGGCCAGGAGAGAGACGGCCTTCTTTAACGGCAAAGAATACCTGGTCATCTTGCAAGATTCGAACACAGACCGCTGCCCAGTGGACGTCGACAAGACACAACGGAAACCACCGATAGATGTGCATGACGGGAAAAATAGTTTGGCGTCCTCATGTGGGAGGGGTGGTCTGCGTGGTGAAGTGCTGGTACACGAGGTGTTTTCTTTTTTCTTGGGTATTTTAGTTTTTGAGTGTTTAAATTAACACACCGCTGTGACCAGAATGGTAGTCCACTATGAACTGTAGTCTGCTCCCCATTACTTTGTTCCGGTGACATGTACTAACCCCAATACTCCGACTAACCGTGATCATATGGGACCCAATATCCCCATTCCAAAGACTACCAATCCTACCACATCTGATATTTGTCATTTTGATTTACTACTACCCTGTAGTTTTGAGTTATCCATTGGCTGATTATGAGTTTGAGTTATCCATTGGTTGGACACAGTGGCATTCGTCCCATATACTAATTAACCCCAATACTTCGACTAACCCTAACCTGTACCTGTACTAACAAAATGATACCCTGTATATCTGTACCTATGACTATTATTCTTACTACAGCAGGTTTGGTCATTTCGATTTACTAATACTTTTGAATGATCCATTGGCTGGTTAGACACGGGAAGGTGGAGGAGGGTAGAAATTAGAAATGGTGAACCCAGTTCCAAAATGATAGATGAGGAACAAATGAAATACACGTTTTCTTTTTCATATTTAATTTAAAGACAACATATTGCAAAGCTTGTCTTAACTATAAATGCATCTTAGGTAGATTTGTCAGAATAGAGGCACAAATGAAATACACGTTTTCTTTTTAATATTTAATTTAAAGACAATGTATTGCAAAGTTTGTCTTAACTGTAAAATGCGTCTTAGGTAGGCTTGTCAAAATATTGTAGTATTTTCCTCTGTGACTATTTTTAGACTGGGGTGGACCATTTTCACTCATAACCAGTGGAACAAAGAGCTTTTGGCACTGAACAGATCCATGGACACTGAGTATTACTTTCTGTTCTTTTTTTTTTTTTTCTTTTTCGCACAACAACGTCGCTTCCAGTTGTCCTGTATGCAGCGTGATATTTACATTAGATTATATAATATTAATAAGCCACTGGATCACTGCGGGCGCGTCCCCCTCCACAAAGTTTTTAGGTGACCCCCCCCCCCCAATGGCCCTTCCCATAAAAGGGAAACTACACGTGAAACAAAGCAAACCCAAACATTTTTCATCCCTATGCTGTCTGTATTGTAGTACACTGTGCTTGTTTATTGCTTATTTTCCCAATACCAGCATTTTGCTCATTTTTTGTAACCCTCAACGTGTGTGATAAACGGCGCTTTAGCTTAATACACCCAAAGACGTCCTAAAATACGCAAGAATTCAGCAGTACTGGAGCTCATCCGATACGCTTTGTGCAATAAGTATAGAAATGTATGGTCTGGGAGTCGTCTTAGAAAACAATACATAGGCGATACACAATGCGCGGCAGACATAAAATAACCATGAATATATTCGTAGATACATGTAGCTTTTTATTAGAGTTGCTGTCTGTTGACAAAGGGTCACCAGAGGCGGACCCAGGTTTATTTGAAGGGGGTCCGTTTTTTAGGAAAGACCATCCCCCCCCCCTTTCTTTGGCGGGGGTTTCCCCCCCCCCCCCCCAAGGGCCCCGAAAAAAATAATATTTTAGAGGGAAACGGTGCCTTTTAGAACTGTGATTCAGCTATTCAAAACTCTAATATTAAGAGGGGAGTATTTATGTGTTTTTGTTTCAGTTATTGAAGGGGGTCCGGATCCCCCTGACACCCCCCCCTCATACCCCTCACTGGTCACGGGGTCGGCCCAGGACCCATGAGTCAGTTCCCGCCAATTGTCAGCATGTTCTCTGAGTGTAATAAATCTCTAAAGTTGTATCATGTGTTGTTGTGTTTTTCTTCAAACCAAAGTTACATAAAACACCGATTGCAAAGGATGGAAGACTGTGGCGAGAACTGTCACGCAATTACAAAAATAGAAAAGCATCAGCTTACAGCGACATTGGGGCACGTGTTGCTGCAGCTTTCATTTTTCCATAAGTCGTCTTCCAAATCACAGCAGATCTTTATCTTCATCACACGCGGGATTAATCATTTGATAAGCTTTCCTGGTAATTTGACGATTTCTTTCGCAGGTGTTCCTTATCTTCTTAGTGTTTTCAAAGATAAGTGCAGACTGTGTCAGGAAGTCTACGAAAATGACGGATAAAATTAACGTCATCCACTTGTTAGTTACAGTGCTACATGTATCTTAACTTGCTGTTGCTCCTTAGAGAATGCGTTTCACCATAATCGTCAAACCGAACTGAAACGATGTTCAAGAGAAATACTCATTAATCCAATGTCACTCACTGAAACGAGTTTAAGAGAAAAGAAAATATGACTGACGGGTGAAAACAGTGTAGAACGCGTTTGCTGTTCTTATAATCTAAAAGATAAGTTTTGTATTATGAAAGATAGTAAATGTAACAGCGATATTTTAGTGCAGGTTTGTTTTTGCGCTCAAATAATTGCTTTGTATACTTTTGAACAGTATATCAACACGAATGCGACCTGCAAATGTACACATACAGTTAATTACGATTGCTGTTTTTTTAAAGAAATCAAACCTCAAACCAGATATTATCTACTTACCCAAAAATCAAAATTCACTTTGTTATGCTTAGTGTTAACAATTATGGGAATATAATGTCACTTGTACTATTAAGGAAGACATAGGTTACGTAATTTATAATATATTGTATTGTGGAAAATATACGTCACCTAAAATAGAGACCCGTGAGTAGTCCCGATAATGTGCTGAATGCGCTGTTGTCAATATAATCCCTCCCATTAAAGCGCCGACAAAACTTCTAGATGAAAAACATGGTATCTTTCAACAAAAAAACTGCAATAACATGATGTTAATTGGAACTAACGCAATGATACGCGTGGGTCTCAACTAAATCAATGGTAAACCATCTCAACAAATTATGCATGCGGTACTCAAATAATGCAATGATGCTTGACGCCCTCTAATTTACATAAAACGGACCGATTATAACAACAGAATTCGTTCAGACCTACCGACCTTCCGACGTCTCTTTAATTTATAAAGATTTTTAGGAGGCCTTTGCCGATATTTGCGATGTTTAGGTAGTATGTGAAATGATATAGTGTTGTTTTGCAGCTTTTATTACTGCCATATGTGTTGACGGCCATACTGCCATATGTTTTGTTTTTTGTGAACTTTTACGCCCTTCAGTGTATTCACCGATCCTGATGTGCTCCCCTGATATGATAAACGTTCAAAGAAGCTCTTAATAAAGTATATACGGCGATTTTTTTATCGTTTTTCTACTTTTCCTCATAAATTGACGGCCATATTGAAAAATCCTCAATGTCTCGGAAGTAGCAGCAAGGTAATTTTGTTTCTCTCTGCCTGAAGGATGCATTTCAGCAAAAAATGTTTGCAGGAAAAAACTTTGTAGGGTTAGCGTTCTGGCAGCTCGACTAATAGGACATATAGGAGGAAATTAGCAAAAGCCATAAGTGGAGAATTTTGTGAACCCATTGTTCCCAATTAGATAGTTCGTTTGAAATGTATTTACAGGGAGTGCGCAGCCAATTTCCCCTTTTCTATCGACTAACAACATCGTAAATCATCATACCACTAAAAAAACGACTGGGATTTTTTTCTGCAGTGTGTTGTTCTATTGGCGAGTTTTGCCGCGAGCGTTGGTAGTCAACAGCTTTTCAAGCCGCCCATGCATCAAAAGTACCCAAAGCGCTCCCATGGGAGATAGTCAGGAAGATTAATCGGCTGTCTGTTTTAACCGCGGACGTATCCGTGGTTTTGAAAATAAAAAAGACGTCAGACGACAAACAGCCGCTGCAGGACTACGTTCAGGAACGGGTTTCAACAAAAAACATTTTACTGCTCTAGTATTTTGTGATAAAAAAGTATTGGGAGGTGAAAATTATTGGGCATAATAATGACGTCATTTTTTTCATTATTTCCATAAACACGTATATGTTTTTTGGAACCGGACAAACTTTACTACTGAACTAAATGAATGCTAGTTCAAACGACATAGCAGCAATCACAGATAAGCAGAAACACATGTACCAAGGATATTATTATTTTTATTTTTTTCTTTACGGGCATGCTCTTAGTCGGACCTTGAATCAACGTCAATGTAATTAAGAACCAATGACCTTCTTGTGTCTAGATATCGGTCTTACTATACCTTCAAATGTTATTTGGTGAAATGTACTGTCTATGAGGCACTGGAGAAAGAAAATTTATGCCAAAACATAGTGAATCATTTACGATTAGGATGCAGTCTAGATGGCAAGGCCGCTAATACTATAAAGTGACATTGACCGTCTGCTATTTTTTCCCTAAAACAATAATAATAACAAAACAGAGAGTAATACTCAAGATTCAAGCCACCGGACCAACGGTTGTGTCTTACTAGACCCGTTGTGCTGAAACAGTTGCAGAACTTGCCCCTAAAACTTCAGGTAAGAAGACAGTTATTTTCCTATAAATCTTTTTTCTATTTCAAACAAAAAACAAAAAATATATATATATATATATATATATATATATATATATATATATATATATATATATATATATATATATATATATATATATATATAATTGGATATCAGCAGTATTTTCGTTCTATAATTAGTAATTAGCCATCGAAAGAGGTATTGGATTCAAATGCAGGTTTCTAGAGAGACAATAATATTTCTTTAAGCTACTCTTACAACCGGTCGTGCGTGCTTATATATATATATATATATATATATATATATATATATATATATTGTCAAACTTCAATTGTCAGAGTAAGGTGTCAGCGCCGTTTAAACGGGAGTGAAATGATTTACATAGTTTTTAACTTATTACTGGTACATGTACTACAAAACCCCTCGAGTTGTATCCGCGAGATGCCCGTTGTATTTAGTTCCTTTCCTAATTTATTTTTAAATTCTACTTATTTCATCATAATTTCCTGCTTACATTTCATCTTTCTTAATTTTTTCTACCACTCCATTTCTGATGCCAATTTCTGATGCAATTATTTCAATTGTATTTAACTTTTTTTTTTTTTTTTTTTTTTTTTTTTTGGTGAGTGAGGGGCGGGGAACCCTACAGGGATAAAAGCTAGGAAACAGCAGGTATTATCAGACCGCTCTATCAAAATTTATTCAATTTAAGCCTTGTCAATATGAATAGGTGACCAAGTTGCAGTACACTGTCCCTTGGAAACGCCTTGGACGCCTGAGGAAAATCCGTTATCTTCCTGCAGTGAAAATCAATTATCATTAAACTCCATGAAAGTGCCTAGTAATTCTATACCCAGATAAGCCGGAACTGTTAACTTGAATCAATTTTCACAAGCACAATAGTGGTTCGTTTTATGAGTTATCCTAGAATCTTACACAGAGTTTCGCTTACTTGAAAGCAAACTCTCCGAAATGAACTGGGCTTTCAGTTTTTTGAAGAAAGTCATTAATGATAGTGGATACTATTTTAACAACCTTGGTCTTTTAAATCTTCCACGAGTTTGTACTCAGCCAGACACCAAATAGGTTGCTTTCAAAACGTTTTTTTCGAATAGTAAATAAGGAAACTTCATTCTCCCACCCTAATATGTAGGGCTCAGGGCTGGAAAATCAATTATTTTCTGAATAGTAGATAAGGAAACCTTATTCTCACACCCTAATGTGTGGGGCACAGGGCTAGAAAAACTTTTTCATAAGGGGAAAATATATTAAGTACGCAGGGGTTGTGGGGACAAGGTAACCCCTGGGTCATTCATTCGTAAAGCAGAACCGTAATCTAGGCCCTTCTCTCGAATAGTACCCGGTATATAGATAAGGAATCTCCATTCTCCCGCTCTATTATGTTCGGCACAGTTTTGGAAATCCTTGGGCTATTTTCCACGTAGCCCCCCCCCCCCCCCCCCCCCCCCCCCCACACACACACACACACACACACACACACACACACCTTTTTATAGGGGAGAATTAATTAAATACACGGTGGCGGTGGGAACAAGATGACCCCTTGACAAACCATTCGTAAAGCAAGACCATATTTGAACATATTTCCCCTCGCACCTTTTTTCACGCATTTGACTATACTTCTCGCTCGCTGACGTCATTTGGACTACAACAAGTTAGGGTCAGGTACGTTCTGGACGCTCTTCCACTCATCCGATACTCGCACATTAATATCCTTTTCCGACAAACACTATTAAGTTCATCTGTCACGCACAAGTCGATAACAATTATGAATAAATCATGAATTGCACATGTTATACATCCCAATGGAATAGAGCAGTGTCTAATGGTACTGTTGATGTCCATTGATGGATTGGGGCCATTAGCTTGGCTGTGACGGGAGTGCCATGTACATCACTATGGGGAATCTTTTTTTTTTTTTTTTTTTTTTTTTCAGCCTGTTGTTTAAAATGACGAGGCCCGTTGTCAAAGGAGAATATATATATATATATGTTTGGAGGGGGTAATGGGAGACAAACTTGTGGTCAAAGAGGGTCCGCTCTCAAATTTGGGCTGCCGTTAGATTCATTAAATTTTTTTAATGGTGTCAAATGTGGGTAAAAATGTATGCTTCTTCTCAAAAATACCTCCCATCTCCCCCAGCCCATTTTTAAACCGTTGGGTTCAGGTCTGATGGCCTACATGTACTTCGATAAATTCAGTGAGTTTTAGACCTTACATCTTATGTAGGTACATGCACTAAGTAACTCTTCCTTGAATTATTTGGAATGGCGAAATCATTTAATGGTCAGGCATGTCTGGGTTCGGTGTCACAAAATAACGTGATTCCCAGTCTGTTTCAAAGTGGGCTTTTCATTACCAAAAAAAAAAAAAAAAAATGGCCTAGATAGTGAATCATGCATTTCTTCGTGCAACAGAGGTCTATATTTTATTGATACGTATATCGACTTCTCTTTTCATTATCTCGTTTGGTTGATGAAAGGTCGAATGAGATGGACTTGATCGCTTTCGATTGCTTTAAAACATTATTTTTTTTAATGATTGGTATCTATCCAAAGCACAACCGTAAAAGCATTCCATTTTTAGCTTTTCATTTTTACCGTTGATCCATTGGTGGATCACATGACTCCTTTGAAAAGAGGAGTATTTTTGGTGTCATATCCTGCTGGAGGAACTGCAATTAAAATGTGACGGCGCCATTTACGGAAATAAGTATACTATAACGCAAAGGGATTTGATTTGGGTTAAATTTTCTTAGACCAAATATATTTTAAAGCAATTAAGTCTTGAACATGCCTACAGTAGGTAGGAAAAGATATACAAATTGAGGTAAAAGACGTGTATTATCTTAAAAAAAACAAGCACATTTTTTTTTTTTTTTTGTCAGATTGTTTCTAAAAACATCATATTTTGCCCTGAAGTTATACGATCTGTTCCTTTTTAACCTTAATGGGACTACATAATGATAATGGTTCAAACATCTACGTACAGGCTAATATTTGAAAACATCAGAACCTGATAGCTAACAGCGCATTATTTGATGAAATGACTACAGAATGGGCGGTGTTTCGCTCTCATTATTACGACAGCTGCGTACAAATACCTGTATACATGTACAGATCTAGTATAATACATTGTTTGAATCGCCCGAGACTTATACATATGGCAGTATACATGTATACATATATAACCTTCCTGTCTTAGCATATGAATGCATGTAAAAGTGCACAGAGCGTGCGGATAGTGTTTTCCATCAATACTCAGCCTTTGATTTTTTTTAACATAAACATATAACAGTACTTTATGTTTTTTTCCCTTTTTGTCCCGAACTCGACTTTCTAAAACTGAGTATCTTTTGCCGGCTCCGGGATGGCATCCTTATAATGTTTGTTCATGTCCAAGCTTTTGCGGAAATGCTTCTTTCTTCTGTTATGGTAGCGGCGCGTACCTCGTGGAAACGAGCCGATTACGAAGTCAGATAGAAGGATCTTGCGGTACCTGCATCTGTTTAGATACACTGTAAAAACAGTGTTTAGCTCTGAGACACATTTCTAAGCGCCTGTTTTGTCTCATTTTTTCCACGCGTTTAGAACCTAAGCACGTTTAGCCTATTAACATGTTACACGCTCTGACGTGCTTGACGCCTAATAAATGTAGGGTGTATTTGTTTAACTTTAAGGTTGTAACGTTTTCAACTGTTTCAGTCACTCTCACACACACACACAAAAAAAAAAAAAAAAAAAAAAAAAAAAAAAAAAAAAAAAAAAAAAAAAAAACGCGCGCGCGCGAAGTCACGGTCACTTTTAACTGCTGTATTTATCTCTATCTATAACAGGGTACCGTGAACTGTCAACATAGTTGATTTACACCATCATCTTTACAGCGGGGCTTATTCATCCTTGTGTTAGCTGACCTTGCGAGGAAGTTAATTGGAATATATTTCTGAAAAACAAGTTAGGAAAATTCACTAGTTTACTAAAGACACTAAACAATTATCACTTTAACTTTAAAACATTTTTTTCATATTTTGATAAAATGCGTTGATGTTCATTTATTTTTCCCGGAAGTAATGAACAATAGAACATCAGGATGATAGTGGGGTATTCATTATAATGGTTTATTTAAGCTTTCATCACATGCTGGTTATTTTGGTAACGATAGTCCGAATATTTTTCAAGTCGCACCGCTCTAGTCGCCGACTAACCCAAGCCCATTTTGGAATTAACCGCTAACTGTAGTTCATACAGCATAAGACGTGTTTTGGTGATTAATAAAAAAAGTTTTGAAAACATTAAATAATGTTTTTCCAGAATGTTATAAAACGCTTATAAAACTGCAAGGGCATCATTTTGCATGGAGTTAAAAACACCCATAACGTTACCATGACGTTATTCTATACCATCACCATTATGTAACCAGCTGATAAAGTCGTGAAAACGTTATTTGTTATATGGATTATTACTTAATAGGCCTATTTTAAATAATAACGTTACTGCAAGGAAGGACACAACGCGTTCGAGCAGGCTGCTTCTCGCCTCCAACAGCCCCATATGTTTACAAGAGGAAGTGTTAAGCAAAATTGTTGAGTCTTGTAATAAACTTGTTATGGGATCGTATATATGGGATTGTGAAGCATTTTTTCTGTGACGAGCTTGAAAAGCTAAACATATTGTTTAGCAGCTCCACACGTTAAGGAATTCCACACCTATAGCAGCAGCTCCATATGTTTAGCAGCCTCACGCGCTTAGCAGGGGAAGTGCTTAGCCAATGTGCTAAGCTTGTAATAGACTTGTTATAGAATCATATGCCGATGAAGCTAAACACATAGCTAAACGTGTAACAATGCCAACGTGTCTAGCTTTTTCTTCTGTGAAACGTTTGAAAAGCTATACGCGTTTAGCATTTACACAGATTTCTAAATGCGTATAGGTGCCTAACGTGTGTTGTATGTATTTAAATGCTAAACACTGTTTTTACAGTGTAAACAACCCTTCTATTTCATTCATTACGCATGCGTACGATAAAATCTAGCGTTAGCGACTTGTCTGAACAGATGCTAGGCTCGGAATACATATTATAAATGAACGTATTCTAGTAATATTCGCCTTCAATAATTCATGAACTTCGCCATGTTGGTTTGTTAATTAACAGTGTATGCAACTTAAAAAGTTACTTCCGATTTTGATAACACTCGAGTTGCATTCCGGCTCATTCTTGCAGGATTTGAAGTGTCTTGCCATTTTGGTTCTCCCTCGAATGTGATCAGAATGTTTCGAATGCTGTCGGGATGCCGTGAGAATGTGAGAATTCAGTCAGTGCAGTTAGAATATTATTCAAATGCCATTCGATAATTTGGAATGCACTTCGAAAGTTCTTAACATAAGCAAAACATTAGGGCCGGCCACAAGAATGGGTAAAATATTTGGAATGCACTCGGGATTTTTAAAATGCTCTTCGAATATCCAGGAACGCACAAAGAATTGACTTTCCGACGGCATTTTTGTTCATTCCGCCTCTAGTGTGACGGGGGTATTATTGTTTCTTAATGGTACAGGTATATCTCGATAGTGACATGCACATCAACACATACCGGCACACATGGAGAGAGACACAGAGAGAGAGAGAGAGAGAGAGAGAGAAAGAGAGAGAGAGAGAGAGAGAGAATCATAATCACTGCTATGGTTACAGTTATTTTTTTTCCCGTCTTGTGATCTGTTATAGGTTAAGGAAGCTTACCAAGACTCTCCACACCTATCCACACACACAGCACAACTAACACAATCAAGCGAAACACATGACAGCGCCTTCTTTCGTGTCACTTGACCTTGTTTTATTTTGGTGTATCTGGGATGGGCAGAAGAAGATATTTTAACATCTGTAATGATAAATAAAAGAACAGCCGGAGAGATAGTTTTTGGGGGGAAGGAAAAAAAAGGGTTGTGTGACATTAAAGGGGGGAGGGGTAGGTGCTGTGTCCCCCTCTACGTGGAGGTGGAAGGGAGTTTCGAGGGGGGGGGGTGAACATCAGATCATCTTTGGGTCTACCGTAGCCTTGTCCACCGTTGTATGCATTTAGTGGTTTGTGTGAAGAAAACGTTGACGTTGATTCATATTTTACAATAATTTATTCATCAACGCCAAAATGAATGAATATATAAAACTTTCCTAACCATAAAAAGAGATAAAACATGACCGGTCTCTCTGATCAGAGAGAGAGAGAGAGAGAGAGAGATGAACTAAGTGATTACGTTTTCTACATGCTGAACCCCTACAGCCGTTTCAACCCAGAGGCCTCATCAGGGGCGCAAACATATCTAATATTAATTGTATTGAAAAGTTGAATATCCGATTCAATAACTTCGTAACAGACTACTAGCAGACCCCAGCAAACGATCCAACTTATCCTTACACATGTATACACACATGACCTACTTTACACCGCACATTTTAGGCACTACAAAACAACAACTTCAGTGAGATCATTTTGGGCCAAGTAACAACGTACTGGCAGTCAACCTCGTCAAGCGGGAAGTGATTTTTGACTGTTTACTGGTAGCGGTTGGAGCATTCGTTTATAGCGGAATAAGACTATTAGTAAAATCTCCCAGTCCCTCGGGTAAGTATGGACATAGATAGTACTAGCTTGTATTAAATTATTACATAATTATTTTCTCACTGCACAGAAACAGATACAGTGCAAACGTAAAGGTAGTAATTGATTATTTAAAAAATACCCCCTACCCCCCATTTATCAATATGATCAGCAATCCTTGGCTCACTCTCATCAACACTGTGTAGTTTACAAAGGCTATCCAGTGTTGATGAAACTGGGCCTTGGTAAGTTGCCTGCACTATATGACTTCATAATACTGATTGGGGGTATAGTAAACTGCTTTGATACCCATTTACAGGGACTTTAATTATTACGTAGGCCTCCTGCTCGATAAAGATATTTTTCCTTTATACATGTCTGCTATGTATCGGATTACACCACACTCTGTGTGTGTATCAAATAAAGACATTTCATATATGACTATGCTTCTGTTTGAAAAAAAAAAAACGGTTTTCAATTTCAGGACCTATTATAAAGAATGCAACAAACGGCAACGAATTTTGTGACATTTCTTTTCCTCTCCACTGTATTCCATCTCTATGATATAGCCTTCACCTCCATAGTCGTCAGTTCTTTTCCAAGTGGACAGGCAGCAGCAGAGTACAACAACATGGCGATTGATAACGCCACTGGGGCTGTATATGTTGGAGCTGTTAATATTCTTTACCGACTGGATGGTGACTTACAACTGCTACAGAACGCAACGACTGGACCAGTCACGGATAGTCCATACTGTAGTCCACCTCCTTCTTCCTGCTCAAAGGGAACGCCCACAGACAACTACAACAAAATCTTAGTGGTAGACCAGTCTAGGGGTAAACTGATAATATGTGGAAGTGTATATCAAGGTACTTGTGAGTCTAGACCAGTCACTGATATATCACAGGCTACTCCACATCGTGGCTCTGACCCTTTGGAAAGTTACATCGCCGCTAATTCTCCAGATGCTTCCACTGTGGCTTTTATAGCAACGGGACCCAACTACCAGGATGTGTTATATGTGGCTTCTACTTATACTGGACAGGGGGAAAGTGGTAGACTTCGGGAATCTGTGGCAGCAGTTAGTAGCAGATCTCTTCAAACACTGGAATTGGCAAGCTACAACTCATATGACGGTATGGGAACGTATATATCCCTCTCTGACTCTGCTCGAAGTACTTATCTAGTGAATTACGTTTCCGGGTTCTCTTTGGATGGTTATAGTTATTGCATCACTAACCGAAAGACAAGACTTACCAGCACAGAATATGAATCCAGATTAGTTCGAATTTGCCAGAATGATGCCAAGTACTACTCGTACTTCGAAATGCCTTTGAATTGCATAGGGGCCACTCCTAACGAGTGGTTCAGCTTAGCAAAATCTATATCGGTAACAAAGCTCGGAAATACTGATGTTCTAATAGGTATTTTTGTCAAAGGATCTGCCACAGCTTTGTGTCTTTTTTCAGTAGACAATATTAACATTATCATAAAATACAAATACCAGCAGTGTTACGCTGGAGCTGGAACCACGGGGGCAGTACAGTTCCCAGGAGGTTCAAGACAATGTGTTGCTTTTCCAGTAAGTTTTATATTTCATTATTTCCACCATAACTACCGACTTAATCTGAATCTGCATTTGAAACGATATCCTTTATCCTGTGTTAGCGGACTGTCGATAAATAGTTTACCTATTTCCACCGTTGCCACTCATTTTCCATTAGCTACCTTTATATCTCCAGTCATATAACTACGGGTCAAACTATTGTAACCATGACTATGACGGTATTAACACGCCCCTGGTGCCAACCACCCCGGCGATATCAACCCCTGCTCTGACAACCACGTCGTCCACATGGACAGTAGTAGCCACAATAACAACCACCAGCTACACTGTGGCTTTTGTTGGAACTGCTGACGGACTATTAAAGAAGGTACAGCACAAATGTGTTGTTAACTCCTACTTATTACGTAAACAGTGCATGGCGAATTTCTCGTTTGTTTAATAATATATGTATGGTAAAATGTAGAGAGCTACTGTGTTAATTTAAAAGCAAGTTTGGTGAGAAATTGGGGTTCTATACTATATTAAGGTATAGATAAAGTATTCGTATGTTAAACCATCAATAAGCGTTTATTAAATGGGTAAAGGCATATTCAAAAGTTTTCTAACTGAAACATTTCCCTCGCATTTTGTTCAAACTAAACATTTTAAAACATATATATATATATATATATCAATGGCAAAGGAATTAATGAACTTCGAACCGTTAATAATGTTTTCAGATATTAATCCAGTCTAATACATCTGCTGTGGAATATGCATCGGTGCAAGTGTCAAGCGATCAGGTTAAAGATATACAGTTAGACGGTACAGGAGAGCACATGTATATTATGACCAAATACAAGGTGAGTTCTATAGAAATGTAACATATGTACGGCTCCATATAAACGAATATGTAACTACTGTATATGGGGGAATAAACCGAATAACATTTTTTAAAACTTAAAGGGATAATAACTCTTCGTTTCGGTCAAAAATGAATTTTCCTGGAGTAAACAACAATTTTCCCATACTTACCAATGATTAATGAATCCATTTTTACATTCAAAGTTAGTCCCTGGTTTTATTCTAAAAAGTTTGGTTTTTTGTTAAAATCTCTTAAGAGATTTTATCAGAGTATAGCCATCAATGGTGGTCACGTGGTCTAAAGACAAGCTCAGATTTTAGAATAATAGCTATAGCTGCCGTTTTTGTGGTAAAAACAGAATATATTATATTTCAATGAGTTATTCACAATATTTTTATTGTGAAATATAGATCTCATACGAAGAGTAATTACCCCTTTAAAGGGACATAAAAAAGTCAAAAGTCATACTCGGTCAATATATTTTTTTTAAATTGTTGAATTATGGGATTACTTTCAAACGATGAGCTAAGATGGCAGTGGACAAATGTTTGATGTATTTTGAATATCTATACTTTTTTGCCCAAGAACTAAACGTAATAAAAGCAGGGTTTTTTATTTAGATTGTAAATCGAACCAAATGTGGAATTATTTATCAAACTCTCCCCAGGTTAGTAAGATGAAGGTAGAAGACTGTGGTAGTTATAATAGTTGTGAGGAATGTCTGGCATCAAGAGATCCGTTCTGTGGGTGGTGCAGTCTGGAGAACAAGTAAGAATAAAATATTGTGTATTTATTTACATTGTGTGATTATTTCTGAATGCTTTATATTGGATATCAGAAAGGGAAAAACATATATGCTTTTGGAAAAGATTCAGAAACGTTAAGTCATACAATATACATGTACACTGTTTATGTAGTTAGCAAAAGGTATTGTTTCTTTGTTTTACATAACGAAAGATAAGTACCACCAAAAACTTCCCTGTGTTTTTGGAAACATTTGGGGAACAATTAAAAACGCATCGGTATATTAAATGTATTGCTTATTTCCTCATTGGTGCATTTCTTTTAATTTTAATAATAATCCATTACCCTGTGAAATGTTGCAAGAGAAAAAGGTAAAATGATTGAGTATTTTATTTAGCATGATTTTTCCCACGGTAAGTGTCTTTCTTGCACTGGTACAGACCGTTTCATAGCGTCAATATTGAATGTATGACAAAAAAACTCCCGCTAACGCATGCATGCCATATAGAAGTCATTTTTTCTTGAGTTCAATTTTTATATTACATAAAACTATTATTTTAAGGGGGGCTAAAACCCGTCTTTCATTTACGAAACAAAGTGATCAATGAGTTTAAGTTTCTAGATGCAGAAGAAAAAGTCAATGCTCGGATGCAGATGGCGCCGAAAGATGGCTTCCCTTTAATAATGGACAGCGTCCCAAGATCAATAACATTTCACCATCAAACACACCCCTAGCCAGACCCACACAGGTACAAAACATTGCTATATACGAACATTTATTGCACAAATAACGTTTGTACATCTGTGCGTAGGAGAATGCTGTAGATCTTGTACTACGACTTTTTGTGTCCATTGTAAGGTAAACGGTGCTGTAACCGGTCATATAACCGCTTAACAACGTCATACACAGGAATGCATCGATATGAGGATCACGTTACTGTGAGTGTGGCTGAATGCAATCGGCAGCTTGGTACATGTATCTGTAAGTTACAATATTAACTACCATCTAAAGATAATCACCGACATGTTCATTCGTGTTTTTAGGTGAACATCTCAGTAAGCCTTCTACCCCCAGGAGAGAACTACCAGTGTGTATTTGATACCACAGCTGTCAGTGCCACAGTCACTGGAGGAAACTTGGTGACATGTGACACACCTAACAGCTTACCTACTATACCAACTGGAGTCGGTAAGGTTTTTGTTCATATACAGGTTGCATACATGTTCTAACAACCACACTCTAAAAATTACACAAAGTAATAGGTAGTAAATTACCACCTTTTTATACAATAAATTTTACTTTAAACGCAGATCTCAAACATGTACATGTGTTTTGGGATATATTGTTCTTTACGTCTCCATTCATTAAACTAATGATATTTAGTATAATTAATTGATCATTCAACTTTATGTTGTAATAAAGAAACGAAAGACACTGCCAGATATCATTTTGATACAGCGGTAAACCGAAAGTATGCGTTTTTTTTCTTTTTGTTTCTTTATATTTTTCTTCTGCCACATTTATTAAGTAAAAAACTTTCATTCCAGACCACATTACAATACCCTTATCTATCAAATCAGTTACGACAAGCGTCAAGTTTTTAACGACCAACTTCACTTATTTTGACTGCGGTGCACACTCAGGGTAATTACTTTTCATTGTGTTTATAGCTGTACATCCTATCAGATCCACTATGAAGCATCTCAGTGGTCTGCTCTCAAAGGAAAATTAGTGAAAGGTATCACATTAACTGTTGATTTACATTATATGATGCATATCAATATCTAAAAAGGCCCAGTCTTTATGGACATAAATTTTGAGAAACATTACTCAAAACACCCTACGGACTAACACATCAATCGCATATATATATATATATATATATATATATATATATATATATATATATATATATACGAGGAGGAGTGTGAACATTCGTCTTATTTAGCATGTGTATTAATTGGTAGGCCTATGTGTGTCTCCTGTGTCAGCAGCAAGTAGGTCTGTGATTGGTGAACAGTGTATATATGCTAACACGTGAATGTATGTATTATTACTGTAGGTGTGTGTCCTGTACCAGCAGCAAGTGGGCCTGTGATTGGTGTATTTTTGCTAACACGTGCACCCACGCCAGCAGTACTTGTAGTTCTAGTGGAGGGCTGATACTCGGGCAAAATGTACTTTCAATTTATTGATTGTATAAACCTTATTTCCCATAAAAAAGCTAGGTAAATTGTTGACATTACAAATAAAACAAGAATGAGATTGTGCAGGTGGGTCGATCAATTTATTAACGTTATGTTATCTAAAACGCCATTCACAACAACAAGTAGAGAAGAAGTCTTGTTATTTCAAAAGAGTGTGTGGCACCAATTTTCAACAAGATATCAAGCGACGCAGAAAAGAAAAAATATGCTTGAGGCACGTGAATTACTACAAGCGAAATAAACAAATATCACACACTTCCTGTTTTAACAGAAACACAAAGTATGAATAAAGACTTGTTTCTGTCATTTCAGAGTCATGTCAGTGTGGGTATTAAAGGTCAAACCATGTGTCCCAAGCTCCTGCCACGTGCACAGGACATCCTGTTACCTGTTGGGGTACCTAAAGTGATCTCACTGAGTGGAAAGAATCTACCTGTACCACAGGTAAAGATTCTCTAAAATGTGGTTCTTAATCATTTCATCGTTATTTATATATGTACACGTAGGAATACACTCTTCGTACTTATGTTTTGATTTTTTTTATTTGCGATATAAAACCTAAGAATTATGGAAGATAAATTATGATTTTGCAATATTATAATAAAGTAAGAGTTAATTTCCAATTCAGTACCCATGGCAAGTTTGACATAAATCTGATATTCCAACTTAAAACTTACAGAGCTTTTTTACAAGAAATAGCTACATGGAGTTCTAATGTTTGCAAATACTCTACGACCATTTTGGTTATTCTCAACCTTGCCCGAATGTTATTCCAGGCTGGCCAAGGTGGTTATCAATGTAAGATAGGTACTAACACAGCCCCAGCTATCAGACAGAATGATAGTGCCATAGACTGCCAGAGACACACTGTGAGTAGTTATCACATAACATCTCTTTTTTCCGAAGACAGTGAGCATTCAGTTCAAACTGGGGCCATTTTATATAATAATCTGCTCTACCGTACCATTATACCAAGTTAAATACCAAGATAAATAACACAGTATCAGCTATCAGAAAGAATGATAGTGCCATAGATTGTCAGAGCCACTCTGTGAGTAGACATGACGTAAACCATATCAGTACACAGGAACTTGCTTCTTTTTCCAAAGACAGCGAACTTTCAGTTTGTTCAAACAAGGACCAATTCATACCCACCAGTTCAAAGAGAAATCCAAATTAGAACTGTGTATTCTTGTCATATATTGAAACTTGTTAGTCCAAAATTTGGCCTATTGCTGTCCAGGCATATTGTAATAAATTAGAAATGTCCTGAAATTTACTTAAAATATATTATAAGAGCTAATATTTTATAGCAAGTAGATAAGGTAGGAAAGAATGATATATTTTATAAGATAAAGACAGTTGGTCTACTAGTTGAGATTTGTTGACATCTGTTTTTTAATTTTAGTTGTTACTGTTTGGGTGCATTTAACGGGGATGTCCGTTCATTATTCCAGTATGAATACACAGCCAACATTGGACAGGAGAGACACAAAATACAAGTAATCTGGAATAATAACCATGTGATAGATCAACCCACAGGTTCTGAAGTCAGTGGTGTGTAATGTACACCAAATTGGTTTTAGCTTTCTTTCAAACTTTGTTCTAAGTATATGTAAATGTTAGAATGTGTAAATGCTTAAATACATTATTTTACCTTCTCAAAAAGATTCATTTCACCTGTCCATAAGAAGGTGAAGTAAATCATTCCACATGCAATAGTATAGTGCAAGTCTATTGTTTTGTTGGCAGTTTATGTACAACACAAGTGTAACATTGTTGGGCAGTATATGTCATACATGTTTTGGTAATTATGGCACACCATTACATTACGATGACCACACTGTTATTTCAGCAATCCTGTACAAGTGTGACGTCATGGGCACCACATGTGGCAGATGTATTGGTGCCGTGGATATAAAGTTTGGCTGTGCTTCCTGTGGAGGGACGTGCAAGTATCGCCTAACATGCAGTGTGCCAGTTGAGAGCACTTGTTCTAATGTTATCATTAACTTGGTTAGAACTGCAATATATCGTACATTTAATATCCTTGCTACGAACAGTTTGATGTTTAATGTTAAGATTTAGAAGTGTTATTTAGTTATTATCATAATTGTAAGTGTCACGTGAATATACTGCTTTTCAAAAAAATTGTCAAGCAAACATTTTATTTGTGTTTATTAAACCGTTATTATATAAGAAAGAACTGGGACTCGATGAAAAAGTTAATGAGAAAAATTTAGCTGAGAGAGTATGATGACATTTTAAAATTAAAGCACTGTCTGTCAGGTTACTCCCTTGAGCGCCCCAGTTGAAGGTCACACCAAGGTCACCATCAGTGGCACCAATTTAGGCACCTCTGATGCTAGTATACCAACTGTAAGACTGGCAGGGGTGGCCTGTAGACCTGTTGCAGAAGCTTATGTGGTGTCACAGAGGTAAAGAACAGTGGGAACTTCCAAGCACGTTGGCACTGGCAATTGTGTCTGAACCATGGGTATTGTTGTCTAAAATTTACTGCAGTTAAAGAAAATGAGAAAGATGTTACAATTGTATGCCAATTTATTATTGGTTTCTTGGATAGCGTTGTATAGAGATTAAATCACTGTTTTAACCGATAGATTTGTAAGATTTCACTTACAAGAAGTGTTTTTTTTTTTTCTACATCACACTAAAATCTTAAATTCCCTGACATTTTTCCGCCTTATTTGTCCAGTAGACCCCCTAAGCTGCTATGACTACTGAGTCGTTTCTTCCAATGTTCTATTTTTCAAAACTATGTTTGCATGATTTTAGAATTGTGTGTACGGCAGCTGAAGCTCCAGGCAGGTTGGCCAGGAATGGTTCCATAGAAGTACAGGTCCAGGGTTTGGGCATAGTATACCGCTACTCCCAGATGTTCAGATATGTGGTGAGCATTTTTTTGATTACTTTTTTATCACTGATGTTGATGAAAATATGAAATGACTGGCAGGGTATACATGTGCTCCAAACAGTTCAGTTATATGGTGCATAGGTGTTTTGAAGTACAACTTTATCCACATCACTGGTCTTCGTGGGAAAGAGCAGGATTTTTAATTTAGATTGCACAGTAGTAATAATATTTATATTTCCGTTGTATAACTTTTTAAAAAACGTTTGAAATGTTTTAATACCTATCCTGTGAATAGAAGGGGCGGACAAACAATGGAGAGCCGTCTAAATCCCTTCAAAATTCGAACGCAAAAACACAATAGTGTAGGCGTAATAACACACAATACCTTAGGCGAGTGACCCCCATGACACCGGTATCTGTGGTCCAGTGCGAGCGCAACAATCTGCTGTAACAAAGTGTAATTAACAGCAGGATACATCAGCCAGAAGGTACACATTGTTTGTTGTGGCGACAGGATTATAGCTGTAAGAGGCTTGAACCCATGCTACCGCGTGCCACTAAACCGTTTACCGTAGCGAACTGTCATTTTGTTCACTAGTTTAGCACGCGCAGCTGATTATCTTTTTAGTGTTGCTAACAAACTGCTAGTTAAATTTTTTGTCAGTATTCAATATGAATTTTCCATTGTCAAAAATTGAACTAAGTATTGTTTGTTTGATTAACATGCATGAGCGTCAGCATCAACCTCAAAATATTCTTATTGCATTAATTTATAAATGAATAATTTATTTATAAACCTAATGATTCAAGTATTTATAAAACATGGACGATAACGAATGAGGAAAAAGGAAAAAACAGCGAATACCATTTTCAAAAAGGAACAATACATGGCAAATATATTACTCATACTAAATTTATATTATAATATTTAAATTAAATGAGGTGCATTGACAGAGGCGCAAGGAGAATCCAACTCCGACGTGCAACAGGGGGACCTATGATTTATTTATTTATTTAGTTGATTTTCATACTGGTTGTTGCTTAAGTTATGCTAACCCACTTTGTACAATTATGGTTCCGATAAATCGCCAAAATTATGACATTTATGAACATTGTGTATGAAACGTTTTGATACGATTGAAATACATGGACAAGAAGGATTACGGTATCAGTTACTATTTACCTTTGGCGTTAACTTCGCTTTGCTATATAAATGAACAAATGTTGCAGATTGTAACAAACATTTTATTAAAGTGCTTTTATGACATATGCTTTACATATTTGATAGTGAAACAATCCTCGGCTTTAATGAATCACCTGACGTTAGCTATGTCTCCCCCTCCCATGCCTCCTGAAAAAACTGCTTCTTTTAATTTCGAAATGAATTGTTTTAAAGACAAAAAAGTTCATTAATCCTTTTACGACTCAGTCATTGTACAGCATGTTGTAATCGATATTTAAAAAAAGTTAATTATTGTACTCAGCTTTCCAGTGTTCATCCTGGTGCTTTCATAGGGGATGCCTCAGGTTGAGGTACGATTACGTCGCTTGCCTTAATCCATATGTTACTGGAATATATTTAAGTATACGTAAGGCTTTGTAAAGACCCTATTGTCACATATCATAGGTACAGAAGTTTGTCTTGAATGAAAAAATACCATGAACTAAGCGTTTTGTGCTTAAACCTTTCATAACTTGGACCGAGGTTTGATATACAGTGTACTGTAGCTACTATTTGACATTCCTCAGCATCTAAATGATAAACGAGGATGTCTACCTGAAAAAGCAGCAGCGGCGGTTTAATTGATCGCTATCTCGTTTTTTTTTTTTCTTTTTTTTTTTTTTTTTTTTTTTTTTTTTTTTTTTGACAGCAACATAGAAAGTGTTTAGGGAGAAAGTCACACAAAGACCCGGCGCTGTTTTGTCTTCACATTTCCTCCTCCTTTTTTACTGCAATTACCATCGTCAATTCATGAAACCGATAAAGCAAGTAAGTGACGGCACATTGAATATAGTCACAAGGTGTATTTTGCTGAGTGTTCACAAGATCCAGCGACACATTTTATCGCCAAGCGTTCTAGTTTGATAAATCAGGGGGCGTTTATGCTGAATCGGGGAATCAGGAGATATGTCATGGGGATATTCTCGAGACGACCAGTAGTGTTGAAAGGTCTGAATAATTGTATCTGTTAAATGTGAAGGCTAGCTTAAATTATCATACAATGGATGGTATCATCATTGCCTTAGAACTTCAGTGTGTGCAACAAGTGGCGCAACAAATGATGATAAAAAAACATCAGGAAGAAAACGAAATAAAATATGTTGAAATTTTAACAGTCATGCGTCATGCCTATGAATCTTACATCGGATTTAGCCCAAAATATTAGTAAATTCAGAATTAAAAGCTAAAACGTAAATTGACATCGGACATCTAATTTGTCAGATAACAAAAAATGCCGGTGATCCAAGCGGAGGATACGCTTTCCTGAATGTATCGGCGCTGATCGGCTACGGTGTTTTTCTGAAAAACTTACCTGTGAACCTGCATTAGCAGTCTCGTGAACAACGACGTAGTCCAAAACAACAAGTCCCTTGTATTACTGGGAGACACAAACTCTCGTTTCTCACATCTGCGAAAATCGTTTTCAAATTCTCTAGGCAGGGGCTACTCATATAGGATGCCAAACGATAGGGTGAAAACTCCAAACGAAAACGCAGTACTTATCGCGGGAGCATTGAAACCGTTAGTGCTGGTGAACGGCCTACAGTGCAACAGAAAAAACTATCCGTGCGATCTTACTTTTAGAATGAGGGATAGATGGATATCTGAGTTAGACCATTGCTTCCTATCACCCGACCTAATGCATTGTGTTTTAGAGTTGGATATCATGTGTAACCTCACCTTACCATCTAACCACGCACCAATTTTCATCAAATTTGACACGCGCGGATGGTCAACGAGAAGGGGAACGCTTTTAAACGCTACGCTAGAACGCGCTCAGTTGTTATGTGATCACACCACAAGCGGTGAAGCCGCCAGAAACGCGAAAGTTCACAAGCACTTCACATGGTCGAGTGTAGACCACAAAACATTCTATGAATCAATCGAACGGACCGACCCACCTGATACTGATACAGAAAATTTCGATGTGAACAAAATCTGTAACGACTTAGATCTAAAGATGCGCGAGGCATTAACCGCAGCATCGACCAGTCAAACCAATAATGCGACAGACAGAACTTCTAGTCCATGGAAGAACATCGCAATGATTCATGACTCAAGAGCCTTGTGGCAGAGAATAAATTGGAACGGAACCGTTAAGTCGCGGAGCGAACCTGAGAACATAACCCCCAGCGAATCAGATTTTAAAGTGCACTTCGAGAATCCACTAGCCCCAGCCGGAGCGGAACCGGCTCCCAACGAGATCGCGTGCCCCTACGTCC